CTTAAGCGTTGTAGCTATATAATTTCAAACATCCTCAAGAGCTATAACACATCTGCAGCAGAACTGGATATGAAGACAAAATTGCTGGACAGGAACACTTTAATTGTCCACTAATCTTCAGATTTCCTGCTATGTTTTAAAAAACTTTATTTGTGAAAACCTTCAGCGTGGCGGACAGCTGGCCGCCTTAGGCGGCTAGTATCCAATATATCCGACTGTTCATTTTCAAGACTTTCATGTCTGATGACACTGATCAAATTATTAATTAAAACAATATTAATTAAATCATTAATTAAGACTGCTTATATTATTAATAAAATGAATAATAACTATTGTGTTGCCAAGACATAGAGCCGAGTGTATGTTCCTCATGAGAGAAATATATAGATAGATAATGAATTTGGGTGCAAATGCGTTGCTTTTTTGAATTTGAAATTTTTGTACTAAATAAACTATTGCACTGTACTTCTTAATCCTTTCTTTATGATATTTTTTAACTATACGAATAAAATTATATTAACTCATCTGAATTTACCACTATTAACATTTACTAAATAAGCTTACATTTTATCGTTCTTTAATTATGATTATTTTATAAAATGAGATATTTCTCAAGGTAATATTTAAAAAAAAAAAAATTTAAAAACCACGTTTTTGTAGTGGAGAATAATAATTAAAAAACAAAAATTTGAAAATCGCAAAACGTGGGGAGCATGAAATATATAACCGTATATATACACATATATATACACATTTTATTATTCATACACATGCACAACCACATTCACATTTACATACACATTCACATTCAGATACAATTGCAGATATACATACACATATTCTCATGAGCGCACATACTGTTACTGTTATGTATTTCATGCTCCCCACGCTTTTCGTTTTTCAAATTTTTGTTTTTTAAATATTATTCTCCACTACAAAAACGTGGTTTTTAAAAATATTATTTTTATTTCATTTTTTGTACTCACTTCCAAAATCTCAATTTTTTCACTCACTGAACACAAAACTTTTCAACTGACATGTGACACTGATTTGAAATAATCGAATCGACAACAAAAGACAATCGCGAAAATATTCATTTTTCTTTAATTTTAATTTCATTTTAGTTTGTATGTCTTTTTTATCTTCATTTTCATGCATTGTCATCCAATTCTATGTGCCAAATTTGTAGCTACTCGGGAAGTTAGTGTAAAATCGATTACAAAATTCCACCCGAACAGACATACATGAAGGTAAGTTGATATAAACGTGGTAATAATAAAAGAGAAAGCACTTAAAAATGAAAATGCTATATATAAATATAAAATAATATCACTTACCAGAGTAATAAAAACATATGAAACTTATAAAGATTAATTTCTTAAAAATTGCAAGAAACATACGTAATTATTATTTAATCTGAAATATTAGTTATTACGTATGCTAAATGAACAGAAAACCAAAGAAAGTGAAGTAGACAAGTTACTGCTGTTAAAAAGCAATTTTCTAAACACAGATTAAAAAAAAAACAAAAAAAAAACAACATAGCACGTGATCCTTACTTAGCACGTTTCCCATAAGACACGCTTTATCTCTTTCTATTCACTAAGAACTACAGATATTTTATTGCTTGGTAAGTTCAAGGTCAAGCCTTAATAGACATAAACAATTGTGGATGTTATGAATATTTAATGAACAGTTAAAACAAATAGCTATTATGTCAATGTTACCAATATTCAATTCAAAAACAAGTTTGTAATGTAACTTTAGCGCTATTGTTGAATAATCAGTCCGGAAATTCACGATCTACACAATGCTTAAAGTGATTATAAATAAATTATTAAACAGTCTATTACTATTAAACATGTTTAATAGGTCCTTTATATACATCAAAATCATGCGATGTGAAATTTTAAAGTCTAAATTTTGGTGCCTTTTTAAATATCGGATAAAAAAAATCGCTGATCAAAAGACTTAGAAGTTGACAGCTAAAGATATTTATGGCTTACTATTAAGTCTTATTGAACCTATGTTCTGCGAAGGATGTCTTAAGGGTGTGATGAAATTTCGAATAATGTTTTTTTTTTATATCTTTGTTAGGAGGTATACAACTCAAAACATATCCTTAACTTCGTTGAGTTAGATTGACGATAAAAAAAAATATTAGAAATTCCAACTTCTTCTAAAAGTTAACCAAAGAGTCGTTAGAATTACAGGTTCGAATATTTCATTAATCTTTTTTTTTCTGTAATATTAAATGTTCTTGATATTGGAAGGGTTGCTAAGAGTAAAACAATAAGACATTAAAATTTGGAGTGTCCTAAAATTTTGTTTTTGCATTGAAATAAAAAAACATAGACGTAGTGCCTTTACAAAGATAGTCATAGCACTTTCGAAATATGATCTGTAATTGTCGACTTAGGAAAAAACATCTTACACGGAATTCCCTTCATAAATTTTATTGCTTTTTCTTACCGTCGTTGAACAGCTGACCCAAGTTTTAGTTTACGACAACCAATGTTAAATTTCGTAGTCTTGTAATTTTGAACCTATACCAGAAGACACGGGAACTCCTGGATTGGAAGAAATTGACTTTCGTGGAGGACTTTTTCGATGAAACTTACCCGCATTTGGGTAACATGGAGAGGAAAACCACGCAAACCTCCCACGGAAAGCTTGACGGCAAGGGGACTTTAATCCATGATCCGTCTACCACTGTTTTACGTCAGCACTGTGGCTGGTGCGGCCCGGGTGCGGAATTCGTAAAAGTCAGCCATAGTTGGGATTCGAACCCTGTTAGCGTCATAGGGAGGCGAATGCTCTATCCCGTGAGTCACCGCGGCTCCCCTTGTAGAAATTATGAGGTAGACAATTATAGCGAGCTAAGTTAATGTCAAGAATACAGTTTGAATGAATAATTAATATTTGCATTTAAACATGCATCTAAATTTCTTTTTAAACATTACAACATAAGCCTGCAAAATTTATTAAAATGTGAAGTCATAAAATTGAAAATGGAAGTCTAAAGCCTCAGATTGGCACTTTTCCCACTAATTTTTGAAATATTGGACTTAGTGGAGGACCAATAAGGTAATTGGAACACAAATAGGATGAAGGGTAGGGAATAAACGGCACGTCACCTAATGGTGATCGAGATGAAATTGATAAGCTTGCAGACACAAAGCAATGCATGAAGAATAACACGTTGAATACCATACCACGCTAATTTTACATGGCTTGCCTGTCTGGCTAAAATAATTTTTGTGCGTTCGATATTGCATTAATTTCTTCATACCATTTTAGTAACGATAATATTATGAAATTTACTTGAATTATGTGTTTCTAATAATCTTGGCTTCGCTGGTCACCGATGACCCCAGTGGGGCAACGAACAAACTCAGTGCCGGTCACCGGTGACTCCCATGGCATTCAACGTGTTAACAATTGATGAAGAGAAAAAAATAATGAATATATGCAAATGATAAATTGGTAATTATAAGTAAATTTTTTATTATAAGTAAAATATAGCTTATAAAAAGCGTTAATCGTAAATAAAATATAAAAATTTGGAAAAACGAAGAAAACAAATTTCTACTTAAACTCAGGGAGAAATCGTACTATAGCCTTATTTTTGTTTTAAATTCGAGCGTCTTTGACATATTATATACAAACATATACAAACAAAACAGGCAAAAGAATAAATAAATAAAACTCAAAATTTTAAATCTGTAGAAAAAAATGCATACAAATCTTTAAGTTTTTTAAGCTATGTAAATCAATATTTGGAAGCTAGAAATGCTGGATTTAACTGCTTTAACCACGAGTATTGGTTCATCATTTAGTATATATAAAGGACTGATTTGTAATTTTTAGATATAGTTCATAGACTTGTGAGATTTCAGACTTTTACGTAAGTATTCGTTTAATGTTCACGAGATAATCTGATTATTACACAATACAGTTCACAATACAGTACAACAAACAGAAATTTTTCAAATTTGCACTTATTTGCAGTTATTCAGATCTAAGAGAAAAAGTAATTCACCATTAAAATTTATTTAATTTATAAAATCAGTTAGCGATAAGAATTTGAATATAACTGAAAAAAATTCAAACCACTTTTTTTAGATTTTATACTTTAATACAAATATAATCCCGATAAATTAACAGAATTTTTTAGTAAATAAAATATTTATTTTTATAATTTAAAAATACCAAAAAAAGATATTTTTGCTTTCAATTAGAGCGTCAATATATATATATANTAATATATATATATATATATATATATATATCAGACTTTATAGACTTATAAGGAAAATATTTCTTAAATTCATGGGCGTCATGGCGGGATATATTTAGAGATCTCAAAAAGTTTCCCTCTATATTTCACTCAAAGAAACAAAATTTTCGTGAACCATTATTGATTTAAATTCTTCTAAGTTAAAAACAAAATAATTAGTATAAAAATAATTAATCTTTTTGAGGATATTTAGCTGATAATAATTTTTTTTCTTTTGTTTGAGAACTATTGAAACGGTTTGTTTTAATTTCGTCTCTGTTCCTGTAAGTAAGATGGAAAAAAAAAACTTTTTCTTGCGATATTCTTTTTGCATAACACTTATCAGTACAGTCATGCTTTTTTTAAAAAAAAATTTTTATTGCGTAAAATTAGTTTGAAATTAATTTTCAAAATGCGTCTTGTAAAGATAAATATTTAATCATTTTTGCAAAAAGGCATGATATATTTGCCTGCCACAACTCATATGCAAAATCATGAATTTCATAATGGACACTGTCCTACATATGTTCTAAAACTACAAATCCCGTAGTATTCCCATTTGAATTTTTTTAAATATTTAAACTTGCACAATGCTGCATTATTTGGGTCTATAAAATTTTGCAAAAACTGAGAATAAGGCTTTAATAAGCATTTATAAGCATTTTGAAATTAATTTTGATAATTTTCAACTTGGTTGAAGAATGTCGCCAAGTTGGCGATTTTAAAAGAAGCTTAGTTACTTTTAAATAATTTAGGTCACTTGTGTGTTCTAAAGCTCTGATAATTACTTACTATCATATATTAATAGTTTAAAATCATCGTTTTCTTTTAAGTGTCAGGCACTTAAATTTTTATTTTTCTATTTTTGGCTTTTTTATTTTTCTTGGTGATATAGCTTCAAAAAACCATAATACGAAAAACTATTTTTAATAACAGTCAATTTTCAAACATCCGAAAATATTAATAGCAGAAAATGAATTTCAAAATAATGAATGATATTAACGAAAGAATAACGTATTTAAAATCTAAACCGCACTTCGCATTCCTCTGTTTTACTCTGTATTTACTCGAATTAATTTTAAGAAATCATGGCTAGGGGAAGGGTTAGTAACTTGCATAAAAACTGTAGCTTGTATAGAGAAAACTATTGCAGATTTGAAATTCGCAATGCTTAAACACTTAAGCATTTCCAAAAGTATTAAAAAACATATCTAAACCTAAATGTCTAAAATATCAGCAAAAATATCTTAATATATTCCGTTAAAAAATCCAATGTAATAAAAAAATCTTAACCAGAGTTATTTTTAAGCTGTAACTATTACACGGATAGAACTTAAGCTAAAAATATAAAGCATTATGTATACTTTGTGAACAAAAAACATTTATTTAATAAAACAGTTTATTTTTATAAGTCACACATAGGTAAGACTCCCAGCTAGATAAATATGCTGAACCATTTTATACACTGATAAAAATTTATCGGGAAAAATGGTTGGTCAGAAAACATCTATTTAATTAAACAGTTTGTTTTTATAGATCACACATAGGTAGGACTCACAGCTAGATAAATACGCTGAATCATTTTATACACTGATAGAAATTTCTTGGAAAAAATGGTTGGTTAGAAAACAATCTTTTAATTAAGCAGTTTATTTCTATAAATCACGCATAGGTAGGACTCACAGCTAGATAAATACGCTGAATCATTTTATACACTGATAGAAATTTCTTGGAAAAAATGGTTGGTAGGAAAACAATTTTTAATTAAACAGTTTATTTTTATAAATCACACATAAGTAGGATTCAAACCTAGATAAATATTCTGAATCATTTTATACACTGATAAAAAATTATCGGGAAAAATGGTTGGTTAGAAAACATCTATTTAATAAAACAGTTTGCTTTTATAGATCACACATGGGTAGGACTCACAGCTAGATAAATACGCGGAATCATTTTATACTCTGATCTAGGAAAAAATGGCTGGTTAGAAAAGAATCTTTTAATTAAACAATTTATTTTTATAAATCACACATAGGTAGGACTCACAGCTAGATAAATATGCTGAATCATTTTATACACTAATAGAAATTTCTCGGGAAAATGGTTGTTTAGAAAACATCTATTTATTAAACAGTTTGCTTTAATAGATCACACATAGGTAGGACTCACAGTTAGATAAATATGCTGAATCATTTTATACACTAATAGAAATTTCTCGGGAAAATGGTTGTTTAGAAAACATCTATTTATTAAACAGTTTGTTTTAATAGATCACGCATATGTAGGACTCACAGCTAGATAAATATGCTGAATCATTTTATACACTGATAGAAATTTCTCGGAAAAAATGGTTGTTTAGAAAACATCTATTTAATTAAACAGTTTGGTTTTATAAATCACACATAGGTAGGACTCACAGCTAGATAAATATGCTGAATCCTTTTATACACTGATAGAAATTTCTCGGGAAAATGGTTGTTTAGAAAACATCTATTTATTAAACAGTTTGTTTTAATAGATCACGCATAGGTAGGACTCACAGCTAGATAAATATGCTGAATTATTTTATACACTGATAGAAATTTCTCGGAAAAAATGGTTGTTTGGAAAACATCTATTTAATTAAACAGTTTATTTTTATAAATCACACATAGGTAGGACTCACAGTTAGATAAATATGCTGAATCATTTTATACACTGATAGAAATTTCTTGGAAAAAATTATTGGTTAGAAAACAATCTTTCAATTAAGCAGTTTATTTTTATAAATCACGCATAGGTAGGATTCACAGTTAGATAAATATGCTGAATCATTTTATACACTAACAGAAATTTCTCGGGAAAAATGGTCATTTAGAAAGCTTCTATTTAATTAAACAGTTTGTTTTTATAAATCACACATAGGTAGGATTCACAGCTAGATAAATATGCTGAATCATTTTATACACTAATAGAAATTTCTCGGGAAAAATGGTTATTTAGAAAACTTCTATTTAATTAAACAGTTTATTTTTATAAATCACTCATAGGTAGGACTCACAGCTAGATAAATATGCTGAATCATTTTATACACTGATAGAAATTTCTCAGAAAAATTTTTTTGGTTAAATAATAATTTATTTCATTGTTATTTTACCATATTTAGACAAAAACAGTTGAATAACCATAAATAATATGATAATCAAACTGTTTACCGTGAGAAAAACCGTTTAATTAATGATTTCACCCTATACGGTTTAATAATGATGATAAAAAACACTCTCCACCATTATAGCAGTATGCACTTTTTACCGACCACTCAAATGGTATTTGAAAAATTCCTTCCCTGATATAGAGCTTCAGCCTCAAATTTTAAAGGTCTCTCACGAGATTTTTAAAATTTATGAGAATAAAATTTATCTTAATAAACTTCTAAAATTTAGTTGGAAATCTCAAGCATTATGTTTTACAATACTTTAAAAAAATTACAAATGTATTATAAATTGTTGAGCCTAAAATTAGAAAAGGGAAAGGAAATATTCGGTTACGTTTTTATCATCATCAATGGCTCGACAGCCCAGTGGGGGCCTTGACCTTCTCATAAAGTTTTTTTTTTCTGTCTAACCTTTTTCCTACTTGCGCTTTACACTTTTTAGTTTTTAAGACCAAGAGGTATGTCTCTAGGCAATCTATCCATCTAAAATTCAGCCTGCCTCTTTTTCTTGTGCCATCTGAACTGGTATTAAAAAGTCTTTTTGTGGTACTGTATGATAAAAGCAAAAGACTGAACAATGAAGACCTGTAATAAAATACTTTACAGGTACCCCCTCACCCAAATTCCTAATTTTATCTATATTTTCCTTTTGCTTCTAAACTAGTACAATGATTATACTAATTTTCAGTAACCATAAACGAAATAACGGAACAAACAATGTTCCTCTGTTATTTCTTCTCTTTCGAAAATTAAAATTTGATAGCTTAATAGTTAATTATAAATTAACATTCAGAATTTTGCACACGATGTTTTTTGCTGACAGTTTTCAGTACTATACCCACGATACATCCGTTCATAATTTCATAAATATATAAATTTAAAAAAAATATGTAAATTTAAAAAAAATGTATAAATTAAAATTATTTTGTATCATTTCATTTAGTGAACGTCTAATCATTGTAATTCAAGAAAGAATTCTCAAACAAACATTTATACGTTCATATAAACATTAACCTTAATAAAATACTTATCGTTCATAAGAAAGATATTTTTTCATTTTTATATCTTAACAAAATTATTTTGTCACAAATTAGACAGAAGAATAATTTTTTTTTGTTTCCTGTTGCATGATATCTTTTAACAAATTAGGGATATTTGCGCTTCGCTGATTTTAGAACTGATCTTTGTTTTTCAATCCAAGCTATATTTTTTTAAATAACATTTTTAATTCAATTTTCGCCGAAATATACAAATTAAAAATGTTTCATGTAATAAGAAGATACGCTAATGCTAACTAACTTCTTGGTGAGTGAGGGCATATCATCAGGATTAAAATCGCATAAGAAACTATGGCTGAGAATGTAGCTATTCGCCGCTAGGGGTGCTTCCCTATTATGTACTGTTTCTTTGTATGCTTCTTAACTGGTTATACAATGGAAGCTCCCCGAGGGAAGCGTCACAATGAGATTTTGGGCAGGGATTAAGCTATTTTAGTACTTACTATGTTCCGTGACTCATTCTGAAAATTATCGAATAACGCAACCCCCACGTAATAAATAACGATTTTAAACTTACGTTTTGACCAAAAATAAACTAAAAATGACATTTATAAAAATCTGTAGCTTAATGAAAAAAAACTGATTTCTTCTTTGAAATCCTCACAACCAAATTAGACAAGATTAGATTTTTGTATAAATGCAACAAAAAACTTCTTCCTCTGTGTTATAATCATATAATGCATTTACAATTTTGTACTCTTATATTTTTACAAAATTCACAGGAGAAATAAAACTAAATAGCATTTTAATAAAATATTTTTGTCATATAGTTGTTTCCTCCGATACTTTAACTGCCCACAAAACATACACACAGTAGTACAACAAGCAACATAGATTAACATAAGATACAACATACGATGCAAAAAAACATAGTTGTTAAATAACAATAAAGTTTTTTGCTTATGGAATTAGTATTTCTGTATTCGAATTATTTTGAAAAAGGTACCTTATTTCCTAAAAATTATGTTTTTTAGTTAAAATAAGGATGTTATTGTGATACATAATTTAAGTCCTGTCACTTTAAAGGATGAAAATCAGGTCAATAGCTCTAAAATTATAAGAATGATCCATTTTTTTCTATAATACATGGTTAACGAACCAAAAAATAAAACCAAGACTAAAATCTTATGTAACTCAATTTCCTGAGTAGTTTTCAAAACAATTTCTTATGTTCCTCTTATTTCAGTCTTAAACATTAAGCTTAATCCATTCAATAATATTTTCGTGTCCTTTATTCACAGCAACTTGGAATAATGTATGGTTCTGTTCATTTCTCGCATTTGAAACTGCTAATTTTTCTTCGGATTGCAGATTCTTTAATTTGGATATTAACTTGCTGTCTCCAATCGAAGCACCAATGAAAAGTTCTTCGACATGTTGTAAAAAATCAGAAATTTCTTTTACTGTAGTGTAATCTTTCGGCGTTTTTCCATCCTTATTTCGTATGTTATAGATGGCACCGTACTTTAGGCAAATCTTGACAATTTCAATGCTTGCCGCGGCGTGCAATGCAGAATTACCACCATTCCTTGTTCTTGCATTTACAAATGTATTCAATTCATCGAAGCTATTTTCTTTTGCATGCATTAGAAGTTTTTCGGCAATTTCAGCGTGACCTTTGGATGACGCAATGTGCAAAGCTGTATTTCCTTTTTGGGTTGTCTGCATAAGATTACATCCTTTCTTTAATGCATCCTTTACTAAATGCAAATGACCTTCACTCGCAGCAAAATGAAGAATGGTTCTCTCTTCGGAATCAATAGTTACGAAGTTGAACAGTTCATTAAAAAGCATCTCGTGTGATGCAGGAAATTGCTTAGTTTCGTGTAAGCCTCCCGAATCCGACGAATTCTCTAAATCCATGAAATTTTTCATTTTTTCTCCCCGCAGGTCCAATTTGAATGCTGCTGAATGATCATCTCCCAAAATAGCTTTTTGTTTCTCAACACTGTCTTTATAAATTTTGATACCCTCTTCGTATTTACCGCTCTTGAACAGCAATTCTCCAACTGTCATTTCCGCATATACAGTATATATGTGCTCTGAACCCAAAATTTTTTTCTGAATTTCCAAAACATCTCGTAATTCTTTAAGAGATTTATCAGTTAAATTTCGAAGGCATAATACGCGCTTCGTTTTAAAAAGGGCCAACAGAGTTTCCGAATGAGATGAATTTAATACTTTGTTATTGTACTCATAAACACATTCATAGCATGTCAGCGCTTCGTCGTATCTTCCCAGGTCAGTTAAAATATGGCCAAGACAATTTTGAGCTAATACTGTCAGATCAGTGAATGGCCCAAACATTTGAATAAACTTTTTAAGTGCAATATTGTTTTTTTTCAGTGCATCTTCTGGCCGCTCTAGTGCACATAATACTTCCGTCATATGGCATAATGTAATCAAAGTAGGAACGTGATCTAACCCAAAAATTTTGTTTTGTTGCGTGTAAACTTCTTCACAAATCTTTAATGATTCTGAAAATCTACCTAATTTGTGGAAGATTGTTGCAATAGTAAATTGTGTATTCAAGGTACGACCGTCGCTGAGGCCAAAAATCTCTTTCTTTTTTTCGAATATTTTCTCAAAAATATCAAGTGCTTGTTTATACTTTTGTTGCTTATACATTATAAATGCTGATATTTCATCAGATTCCAATGAAATTGGATTATCTAAACCAATATTTTGAGCTGTTTTCTTCTGAAAATCATTTAAATTTCTCAAAGCTTCATCATAGTTTTCCTTAAGGATTAACTTGATACATTCATCTATTGATGTTTGACAGTTTTTGAAAAATATATTCTTTAGATCGCCTAATTTGGGAAAATCATTGAGCATAGCACAAGTTATTAGAGTTTTCCCTTCCCTGTTTTTTGCACCCGCTACGGATTTTAATGAATAAGAGTTTTTGAAATTTTCTAGCTTACTTAAAATCTGAATATTGCAATTCAGAACACATTTAAAAGCGTGATCTATCAATTTTAATAGATCAACAACGTCATTGCTTGAGGCTAGACCAAGAGGAGTTTTCCTGTCTGCTGTCATTACATTGTATATAGCACCGTTTTCTAGTAGAGTTTTAGCTGCTTCAAGTTTGCCATACTTTGACGCATAATGAAGTGGTGTGGCGTCGTTTTTCCCTCGAGCATTTGGTTCTCCACCATTTTCTAATAAAATTTGAATAATGTTAGCATAACCTTTCCAGGCCGCGTAGTGCAAAAGTGTCGCATCTTTTAAATCCTTTGCATTGATGCAAGCTCCTTTTTCAATAAGTGATTTTAAATTTGAAATATTGTTGCATTTTACGGCGAGAAAGAGCTCCTTAATCATTTGTAACATTTTCTTAATACCTTCATTAACAGTTAGAAGCAATGGTGTATTATGAAAAATGTCATCAACGCAGTCGTATTGCGCACCGTTGTCAAGAAGTACTTTGAGTACATCATCAAAACCAAATTTTGCGGCTAAATGAATTGGTCTTCTTCCATAATCACTAGATTCATTGACATTTAGTCCGTTTTCTATTAAAAATTTAACCATTTCTGCTTGGCCTGTTTCAACTGCATAGTGAAGTGATGTCCTATTTTGAAAGCCACGTTCTGTTAAAATTTTTTCATTGATTTGAATAAAGTATTTAACAACAATCAAATTTCCGCTTTGAACTGCGAAGTGTACGGGTTTTGAGCCTTCACTATCAGCTATATTCACAATGGCATTTTTGCTTATAAGAAATTTTATGATGTCTAGGTGACCATATTTGGCAGCTATATGTAAAAAAGTGAATTTGCCGTCTAATTTTTCATTTACGTTTACATTTGTATTCTCGAAAAATATTTTTACTGAGTCCAAATGACCTTGCCATACAGCCCATGCAATGGGTCTAGGATATTTTGTAGTCACTTTATTGAAATCTGCTCCGCTGTCTAACAATATTTTTATGATTTTGGAATGACCTCGTGCAGTTGCTATGTGCAAAGGTGTAGTATGATCTTCAAAGACTATGTTCACATCCGCTCCATGCGTTAATAAGACTGATACAATATCATCAAAACCGCTGTGAATTGCCAAAGACAAAGAATCGTTAATGTCAGTTAAATTAGAAAGTTTCTTCTTTTTGTCTAAAACGTAAGACACCAATCGTTCCATGCCTTTGAGGGTAGCGAGATGAAGTAAAGTTTCACTTTTACCTCGAAACTGTTTCTCGATATCAGTTGACTTTTTTTGGAGAAGAATTATGCATATATCCTGGTTACCTTGCACTAGAGATTTATAGAGTGGGTCACCATCATTTACGTCCGCTCCTTTACTGATTAAAAATCGTGTTAATTCAGCATAATTCTTTTTTGACGACAAGCATAACACAGTATCATTTTTTAATGTCTTAGATTTTAAAGAACATTTCCCACTCGCTATCAGTATATTAACTATTTCGAGATGATTACTGCTAACAGCGTAATGTAAGGGTGTAAATCCTTGTTTGTCTTGGATATCAATGTCGGTCATTAAATCGATTAAATATTGCACGATTTCAATGTAACCTGAATTGCAAGCTTCGTGTAAAGATGTTCTACCAAAAATATCTCTAGCCTCAAAATCTGATCCTTTTACTAAAAGTTTTTTAAAAATGTCAAGCCTGCTTGATTGAATAAAATTATGATTACTTTCTACACCATTTAATTCGCAACCTTCATCCAGTAAGACCAAATCTGCAGAATTTAAAGCACAGATATGCAGTAAAGTTTGCCCTTCATTATTAACGGAATGAATATCAGCCGATGCCGATAATAGTTTATCAGCTATCTCAAAATAACCTAGTCTTATGGCAAGACTCAAAGGTGTTAAACCATTTTTATTTGAAGCATTAATATCAGCTCCACATTCGATTAGCCGACTTACGATATCTGTAGAACCATCTCGTACGCTTAGATGAAGAGGAGTGTTACCATTATTATTCCTTGCATTAATGGGCGCTTTGTTATCAATTAAAATATTAATCAGTTCTAAATTCTTATGTGGTATGGCATACTCAAATAAAGAAGCATCATTCTTTGCAACATCTTTAATGCTTAAACCGTATTTTATTAGCGTTTTTAATACATTGATATGCCCTTTCTTAATGGCTAAATGCAAAGGCAAACATTGTCGATCGCCTAAAGCGTTTATATCTGCACCATGTATCAATAAAACTTCAACAATACATGAGTGCCCATTTATAGCAGCGTAATGAAGTGGGCAGCCAAATGAATCCTTAGCATTTACGTTCGCTCCTTTTGAAATCAATGTTTGAACAGTTTCTGTATGACCAGCGTAGGAAGCTAGATGCAAAGGCGTGAGCAAATTGTCAGCTTCAGAGTTAACATCTGCTCCTCTATTAAGAAAATAAATTACCATGTCTTGAAGACCCATTTCCGCTGCAACATGTAAGAAAGTTAAATTTCATGAACTTCGGATCGAGTTTATATCTTCTATATGAGGAAGAAATAAATCTACAATTTTGGCATTGTTATTAATCACAGCTTTAAAAATTGGCGTATGAAATAGTGGCCCAACATCAATTGTACCCATGTGTTGAAGTAAAGTTTTCACAACGTCAAAACAACCATTTTCTGTCGCAATATGAAGAGGTGTTTGATTTTGTTTGCACTTTTGATGAACTGAGATTTTCAGTTCTTTAATTATATAATTAACTATGTCTACACGACCCATAGCTGCAGCAACGTGGAGAATATTTCTATCACAAAAATCCTTTATTTTTGGGTTCAATCCACGATCAATTAAGAATTTTATATTATCAATGTTAGATGATTTTGAAGCAAAATGTAAAGCTGTCATCAAGTCGCTGTCTCTTCCATGGATATCAGCTCCTTTTTTTATCCAGTGTATCACATCATTGAAGGAGTCATTAGCAAAAGCACAAAACAGTCTTTCCTGATTTTCAACAATAGATTTTGCATTCGTTCGATTCGTTTTCTGTTTGATGGTAAAATTTGCTTTTCGATAGATATCATGCTTGATAATATTCACTGCAAATAAAAATATTGACTGAGTTGAATCCATTAAAATATCCACAACAGGATTTCCATGTGCTAAGTAATTCCTTAGATATCTGCCTACTAGTAGAGAGTCATCTTCGTTAGATAGCTGACTAGTTATTAAATAATGCTCAGAACGCTCTAAGCTAGACAAAAGTGATAATATAAGCATTTCAATTTCTACCTGTATTTTGAAATTAATTTTATACCTAAGAAATGAATCCACGTCATTTTCAGATAGATTATGTTCGTGTATAATTTTCTTTAAAGCTGCTATATCGTTTGACAGGATATCCTGATAAAATGTGGTTGATGACTTTTTTATTTTTCTAATATTATCAATAGTTATTTTCTTAGTTTTGGTAAAGTTCTTTTTAAGTTCCTGCAGGTTTTTAATTTCCAGCCCTTCACTATTAAATATGTAAAAAAATTTTGAAATTATAGAGTAGAATTTCAATGAATCCCTTTCTTCTATTTTATCTTTTACGCTCTTGACTAACTGGTATAGCAATATTCCCAATGTGCTCCTGCCTTGCAACATGGTTTTAGGTTTTAGTTCTTTTAGTTTTTCTCTAATAAAATTCTTTACTCCAGACATCAAACAACCACCCATTTGACTCTCAACATTGTGTGCAGTACTTAACAACGTCATGGTTAATTCAAATTCATTTCCTGAATTTTTCAAATGACTCTTTTCAAATTTAATGATATCTTCTATTTTTGAGAAGATAATTTCTTCAAAATGTGATTTTTCTTTTATAATTTCGTTTAAATCAGATACAAGCTTTTCCAGTGCATTCATAATAGCGTTATTTGGTAAAATGTTTGTTAAATCAGGCTTAATAGTTAACATTCGAATCATTCGAAGAATCTCATTGAATTCATTCATGTCTTCACATTCACAAACTCTCTGTAACAGAGTTCTGACAGTTATAAAATTTATTTTCTGAAGTGCCAATGTAATTCCGTGGGCTAGAGTTTTCAAGTCATTCTGAACAAATGTGTAAAATTCTGAACCATACATTTCTTCAATATATTTACAGGTTATTAACGGAAAACCATGCGAAAAGGAATCTCGTAAGAATTTTAAAATAGCATTAGTTTTGCCAGGTATAAACAGCATCAATTTGTCATTGGTTGCAGAAGACAGTTTAGGCGATTCTAGTGTATTTTTCAAATTCTCTCCTAAAACTTGCAGAGCTCTAGCAATAACAGTTTTCCCGCTGTTTTCAAGACTGTCTACTTCTATCACTATGTCGACATATTTCTTAATAATATTGAGAGATTCATGATCACGAATTATCTGATAGTTTTGGTAAAATTCTTCAAAATGCGGATATTTGGAAATTATGCAGCCTACCACATCATCACGTTTTATTTTTTCAGGAAGCTCTCTCAACACTTCTTTATCTATAAGATTAATTTCTTTTGTTTCATTGGCCAGGCACTCACAGAAATTATTAAGGTATTTTACAAAGTCATTCTCTGTAACAAAGCAGTTGATGTAACTTCCTTGATTACTCAGATACCGGATGAAGGAGATTAAGTGAAATTCCATCTCTTCCCAAGGAATTCTATCATATGTAGATTTCAGTCTTTTTTTGGATGACATTATATTCTGAGCTATTTGTTTCGCTAAGAAAACCATCTGATACTTTGATTCGCTGATTTTATACATCGCTTGAACTAAACCACTGTACTCCAAAATAAGTGACAAACTTTCTTGGATATCATCGTGAGAATAATCAGTTGAGTCTGATGGAATGACTTGCTCAAAGTAGTTGTCTAGCAAAAAGCTGTGTATATACATTTTCATTTCGGTTGATACATCAACATTTTTTAGCATTAACTCATTGAAGCTTTTTGACAGGAGAATACACAGCTCTTGGATGTGTGTCGAAAAATAATCCAATGGCCACTTCTTCATCAAAACCTCTAAGAGCTGCGTATTTCCTGTGCGTACTGCGTAATAAAAGGCGTTGTGACATTCATCATCATTATCGGCAGGCGAAGGAAAATTTCCATCGTCTTTACTGGAGAGATTTCTCAAAATAGAAGGACTTTCACTGAGCACGTGATTCAAGATTTCCAATCGGTTGTATTTGCAAGCCATTATTATCACATTAGACTTTATAAAAGGATTGTCGTCTTTATCAAGGCGAGACATTAAGTCTGGAAAAATGTTCAAATCACTCAGTAATGCCAAGATGCGACATAATTCTCGAAATATTGCTTCATCATTAGTTTTAATGGAATTTTTTATCGCTAGTAAAGTATTTATGCAAATACGATTCTGATTTTCTTCATTGTATTGCTGAAGCTGGTCAATGGTTGCAATTTCTGTTTCCGTTAGCAACTTGAATAACTTCTGTGCTTCACTATCGAATTTCAAATTTGTTTTATTCATCATAGATGGTTAAACTGTTGGAGGAAAAAAGAATATTTCATTCACAAAATTGAAAATTACATAGAATGTCATAGCTTGAATGAAAGATTAAATTAAAGTTCAGGAAATATTTTTGAAGAAAGAGATTTATAATAGGTTCATAAATTATTTTACCTTAGAAATTAGCAAGAGATGGATCTGCCGGAAAGATTTGTTTTCTTCATTGGGGTTTGACACATTCCTGAAAATATTATCATTTTAATTTTAAAAATGAAATAAAATTGAGAAAAATTTCGTTTAACATAACAAGATTGCTAAAAAGAATATTAACTAGTTACATTGTCCAAGTCATTATTTTCGTTGAAAAATGCTTGAATTGTAATCATACAAATTTTTACATTGTTTTAAACTGTAATATTTAATGGTAAAATACTACATTTGAGCAAATTTTGTCAAATATTCTCTGAGTTAACAAAATTTAAAAAGCTGTATTTTTAAATTTATTTCTCCAACAGTGTTTAACCAATAGCGTTCAAATTTTGGAATTTTTCGTTTCAGAATAAAAAGATAAGTATAGTTAAAATATGTATTCTTTGCAACTCACATATTTTTTAAATTTTATGAAATATTTTTAAAAAAATTAATAAATTACAAATGATATTTTCTACGGGGAATTATCCTTAAAAATAAATTACATAATGGCAAGCGAAAATAGTCGATTGCTTTTAAACTTCCCGGGATGTGGCGATATTGACATTTGATGGTCGAAATTCCGATATATTGTCAAAGTAGGTTTTACAGCTTGATTTCGAAACTTAATGAAAAACGCTAATTAATTATTTCATTTTATAACTGTCGTTGAACAGCCGAACCAATTTTTGAATCTACAACTTCTAATGTAGCCTTGTAATTTTCTACTCCCCATCTTTGTAATTTTGAACCCAATACAGAAGATAAAGAAACTCCTGAATCAAGTATTGGGTAAAATATGTCTTTGTGGAGAACTTTTTGATGGAAATCATCCACATTTGCGTTACATCAAGATTAAAACCACGAGAGCCTCTCATGGTTACCCTGGTGGAAAGGAGACTCTAACCAATGATCCTTCAACCACTGAGCATATTTTACTTCAGTACTGTGGCTAGTGCGAGCCGGGAGTGGAATTCGCATAGACAACCATCGCTGTGTTTCAAAATTTGAGACTTTTTCTGAACAAATTATCAAAATTTTCAGTCTCATTTATTCTTTTGTTACTTTCTTCTCTGTTTCGTAATTGAGGCGCTATTATTTCTTAATCAGTTTTCTAGAAATTTTTTCATCGGTATTCTCCTTTACTTCCATTTTGTAGATTCCTTTCACTGCACTTGTGAAAGCTTTTGTGTCATTTACTTCATTCAAAACATTTTGTGCTGCCATCTACTGGAAACATATGTTAGAATTTTGTCTTTGGGCGTCAGTTTACACAATCATTAAGAAATTAGTTTATTGGTGACAGCATTATTTATTTTTAAACACATGAATCGCAATTTAAAGAAAATTCTTAAGTGCTACCCCTTATGAAAAAATCGAGGTATAAATGAGGTATAAACGAGGTATATTTTAAAGGTATAAAGGAGGTTTAAATGCTGAAAAACCTGATTTTTGTTGNGAAAACGGGATTTTATGAATAGTCGTTACAGAGGCAGGGTCACTGTGATGGGAGTTCGCACTAAAGAGCTACGGTTGTTTTGAAAAGATACGCGTTAAGATGCGTTAATTTTTGTTCTGACTGCAATCAAACCTTAAATTCTGACTAAAAATAGAAAAATCTAACAGTAGATCCACTTCAATTATTGTTTATTTTCAGGACAAATATTATAAGTCTTTAATATTCTTAATTATAAACTATTCTTCATTATAAATACATCTCTCCTCTATTTCAATACACTTCAATTTGTGGCATACATGCTATTTTGCGTTTTCAAGTCGTAAGAGAAAACTATGGATATCATATTTATTATTTCCATACCCTCAATTGTTGCTTCAATTTTAATACAATTCAATTTGTTGCCTTCTGAACACTTTAATTTGTTACTTAATGAAGACTTTAGTTTGTTGCGTACTGGACATTTTAATTTATTGCCAACATGCTACGTGTCATTTCAACGCGTAAGAGAACCCGTGCTCATCATATTGAACATTTCCATGCCTTCACTTGTTTCTTCTTTTTCAATGCGCTTCAATTCCTTAACTACTGAACACTTCAATTTGTTACATACATGCTATTTTGCGTTTTCAAGTTGTAAGAGAAAACTGTGTATATCATATTGAACATTTCCATACCCTCAATCAGTTTTAATTTGTTGCCTTCAATCTGTTGCCATCTGTAATCTTTAATTTGACTTCATTTGTTTAAGACTTCATTTACAGCGCACTGGGCATTTTAATTTGTTGCAAGTCGTGAGAATCGTTGTCAAGTCGTAAGAGAAAACTGTGGATATCATATTCAACCTTTCCATACCCTCAATTGTTGCCTCAATTTCAATACAATTCAATTTCCTGTGTATTGAGCACTCTAATTTGTTGGATACTTGCTATTTTGTGTTTTCATTTCGTAAGATAAAACTTTGAACTCCATGTTAAACATTTTAATACTCTCATTTTTTTACTTGAACTTCAAGACACTTATATTTATAGTTCTGTTTCAATTTGTTGTTGTGATTTTTTTCTAAAATTATGGAAATTCTGTAGTCGTTGGAGAGTTTTAATTTCCCAACCTTTCAGGCCAAACATGTACGATTTTGCGGTCAGATATATTAACCAAATATATGTATAGTAGTAATATATTCATTTTTAAACAAGTTTACACTGAACTAAAATGTTCTTCTCTAAAATCTAACATTTTAATTTTACCAATATCCATTACAAACATAAAATTACATCTTAAATTTAATAATGTAATATAGTGCTTATGGATTATGTTTTATTTCTTAGATTATTATTAATAGCATCATTTCTTTCCAAACACTTCTTACGTTTTATACTATTTATACAAGCAGAAAAAGGGTTCAGCAAATCTTTTTCAATATTGCTTTCTATATCGTTTCTTCTAATTACATTCATTTTTTTATAATTTTCTTCCCTTTCCCTATAATTACTTTTTCCTATAGATTCCTTTTTCTATCATTTTTAGCCACGGAACAAATAAAAATATTGTCTTTATTTATGCCTTTTTAATAAAGAGTGCCAAATTTTATATTTTATTTGAATAACATCCTAGGATGAATGCATCGCCGTTAATCACTTAACGCTTGAACTAGTTTTTTTTATCAAGAAAAAAAAAACTCCATTACTCAGGTATACTTCGAAGAAATAAGTTATTCTAAACAGTGGTTCTTATTTTCTATTGCTTTTAGATTGTTGTATCACTTTATATTTAAACTAAACCTTTTTGCATACCAGTGTAAAACTTGTTTAACCAAAGATAATTCGAATGAAAAAAATTTTCCAATATTAAGGAGCGGCAGAGAGGGGAACACCGAGGAGGGACCAGCTCAAGCCTTGCTAGAGACAAGACGTGTTTTTCTCTGCTCCGCAATTATGCCGTATCACCGAACTGCCCGCGGCGGAAAAGATTTCCCTTCCGGCCGCATGCCAACATCAGACTTATATGAGACATCTTCGATCGTCAAAAGGTTTTTACCGGCCAGATCTATGAACTACGCACTTTACTCAAAGTTTCTTCTGGAACAAACTACTGATATCGTGGAACTTCGTAAGCTGCGAGATTCCATTGGAGAGATTTCTACCTCAACACCAAGTAGATATTACAATGAACTCTTTAACGCAGCGGTGTCCGCAATTCAAACTGTTGAGTCGAGTCAAAAGAAGCCAACTGCCTCAACTACAATGGAGACAACTATCACTGAGACAGCGGAAATCCCTGTGACCATCCCAGAAAGTAGTGTTACTAATGAAATAGAGACTGAGCCCGTTTCCGAGCACAGTGTTCCGAATAATATCACAACTCCTTCCAGTAAAGATTTGAATATGGATATAGACGAAGAGACATCAGCCTCTGAATCTGAGATCCAAAATAGAAACAACAAAGAGCCACCAGCTAAAAAGAGAAAGAAGAGGAAGAAAAAGTCTGCCGCAGCTACAGAAAATGTTGACCCATCCATGACTCAGAAAAGCTGCACTCCTTCGGAATCTCTTTTCATGCCGGAGCCCACCCCTATTACTGCATCAGAACCTACGGAGGAGACTACCAACAAAGCCACAGAGCCTTCCACTTCAGTAGAAAAAGCTCAGCCAGTTAAAAATGCTAAAGTCCTCATCCGTGGCCTTCCTGATGATTTTAGTACAGATGAAATATCCCTTGAATTAGGGAAGCGAAACATTGAAATACTGAAAATAGTCCAGTTTAAGAAGAAAGTGGGTGGAGCCTTTAGGCCCCTCCCCCTGTACCTCATCGTTATGCCAATGCTAGCCAATCACGAGATGATCTACCATATTGAGAGCATCAAACAGATCCCAATCAGCATAGAGAAATACCACGGCGGCCGGCGGCCGCTGCAGTGTTTTCGATGTCAGAGTTTCGGTCACACTCAACGTTCCTGCTCCTCCAGCCCAAGATGCATGAAATGTGCCGAAGGGCACTATTCATTCCAGTGCAGAAAGAGCCGAGACTCCCCAGTTAAATGCTGCATCTGCATGCAAAACCACACCTCAAATTTCACTGGGTGCGAGGCCCGCCCCAGTCGAAAGAGGAAAACGACCAAGGACACGCCTACTTCTACAGTCCACAGACTTGTTAGCCTCATCAGTGAACTTAAAGACTTGCTGAAGGACCAAGACGTGCTGCATCTTCTCACAACTTTAATCCAGGGGAATTCCCCATACAACTGATGTACTACTGAATCAACTCATGCCTCACCTCATCATGGATTTATTATTTGATCCTAACTTAGAACTTTGAATTGTATATGACCTCTAGACTAAATGCCAAAACAGTATAGATGAATCGGTTAGAAGCGCTTCGCGCTTAACACCGAGATTCCACTCATATCAATCAATCAATCAATTTCCAATATTAATTACTTATTAGGCATACTACGTTTTAATATAAGCAGCAAAATAAACGATTTAAATGAAATCAGCCTAATAGTTTTTGAATTAAAAAATTTTAGACAACGGTAGGTGTTAGGATTTGACTTTAAAATTATGTAGTTTAAGCTCAAGTAAAAAAATGTGTGTTTCGCGGAATGAAATTTTTTTCCGAACATTATTAAATTACTAATGTTCAAACAAC